TAGATCTAGATCTACAAGAGGCAGAAGTGCAGGTGCAAGTTAGATGGAATTGGATGCAGTTTTAGATGTGATCCGAGATGTTGATGATGGTGACTGATATGTACATAAATCTTTTGACTTATAATAGTTTATTTAAGTTGATGGGATCCACTTCATGTTGATAGTGGATGGATTTTGTTTTGTTATGGTGGATGCCTTTTGTTTTTCATCCACTATCTTTTTGCATATTCAACAGAAAGCTGTGTATTTTTGCAAATTGGAAACTTTTCTAGTTGGTTTTATCTAATGGAAATGGTCCTTTGGTCTTAATTTTCTGTGTTATAATGCCGCATTCATCAGAAACTACAAAAAACTTGCATCCATTCATTCAGTAAAAAGTAACACAATTACAGTAGGGATTCCATTACATAAGAAAGCAAACCAATGAAAAAATCACTACAAAATACAACATGGGAATCTTTGGTCTGCTATTGCTACGGACACTACCACCAAAAATTGTCTCCACTCAACCTTACTACTCTCATTTCATCACAATCACCCAACAACATTAACTATCCCTTGATGGCCAACATATGGTCACTCTTAATAACAGTCTTCAAATAGCAGCAAAAACAATACAGCAATAGAAAAGCCCATGTACCGAGAAGAGCTCTTTTGAGATAGTGCTCTCTGGTCTTGTACTTTTTCACTTCACCCTCCAATTTTGCAACTTTAAGTTCCAATTTTTGAGCTTTATTGTCCCATCTTCTTGCTGAAGTTTCTAATTCCTCCATATTACTTTCCATTCTATTCATTCTTCGCAGCAAACCGGGAATCACTTGAGTTGATCTTTCGCACATTGTTGGATCATACCATTCCCAAAAACCACATCCTTCATCCTGCAATTTACATTTTCCAAGACTAAATCCTCTTGTTATAACATTTTCATTACAAATCTAACATCTTACCTCTCTAAGATCTTACCTCTCCTAAAGTGCAGACCACAAATCTTGTTGCTGGGTTCCAATTTGTCCATGAGGTCTTCACCATTGCTATCAATCCGCAGGAGCATCTAGGTATGGGTTTAGGAGAGCGTCTCGACATTCTTTGGCTTCTTCGATTTCTGACACAAGATTTAGGGCTGGAAATTGAGTCCCAATTTTTTCCTCCACCAGACCAGACACTTCAGTTTGTTTGATTGGCTTGTTTCTACCGCTCTTTTTTTCTTTTCAGTTGATGTATTAATGTAAGGGAACGGTCAGTGGATTGACGGACAAAATTGCCCCTGTGGTTTGCCGCGTGTAATGCTAATTTCAGAAATTAACAGCCATTACCGACGAAATGGGCACGGGTGGACTGATTAAGTTGTTTAGTGGTCAATAATTGACAAAAAATAGTTCGATGGTCAAAACATGATCATGAGAAAAGTTTAATGGTCGCCCCAGATTTTTTGCCCTAGAGAATAATACCTTAAGATACTTAAGCTTCAGATTTCCATAGACGACTCCAAACGTGAAGGCTGAAGCACGAGCCACCTGCCACCAGTTATACGAAAACGAAAAAAATCCAAATTTGATCAGACATCAATGAAATTGTGAGAAATTAAAGCTGGCGGAGGTAGATGGTTTACCAAGGCGAGAGTGCTGGTGCCGGAGTAGGGTCCAAGAGGAGGCGACATTTGCTGCTGATCATTGAAATCGAAGAAAGAATAACTGCAGATGTTGCGAATATTGCCCCCAATCTAAGGTCTCTCTTAGACTCAAAGCCCTAATTTTCGTTGGACACCAGTTTGGAAATTAGAAATGTTGGGGAGATGGGCGAGGGCTTCCCTTAGCTCTCGTATTATTCAGTAAGGAAAAGGCCAAAAAATGTAACTTTTTTTGCAGGAAACCACCAACCAAAATTTACATATAGAAAAATTGCAGAATATAACCTATTCATCGATGATATCGATATCTGCGAGCATGCGGCTGGATTTCTTACCTAATTCGTTTGCTAAGAAATAATTTCTGGAGAATTCAAACTCGTCCTCTTCGATGTCATGTTGTTCCATTCTCTGGTTTTGATGAACCTAAACCTGATGATGAGAGGGAAGGAGTAGGGGCGACGGGACGGTGGAGATAGGGAGCAGGGGAGAGGAAAGTGGCAGAGAAAGGCAGAGGGCAAAAATTTAGGCAACCGAGAGAAATCAATTTAGGGCAAAAATTTATCATGCAATTACACCCCTTCAATGGGAAAGCAAGGGTAGTTTGATTACGAAGAGATTCAACAGGAAAAACTCTGCGGGAAAGCAAAATTTTGGTCAAGAGTTTTGAGAGATAGTTTGCCGAGAGAGAGAGTTTGTGCGAGAGATAAAGAAGAAGCAAAATTTCACTGGGAGGCAAAATGAAGTTTTGAGATTTCACTAAGTGTTTTGGCAAAGGAATCTTCCGCCAAAATCCAACAACGTCGTTTTGTGTTTTAATTTTTTTTGGTGTATCTCACATTTTCGTAAGTGTCATAATAGGGAGTCTAAAGGTACATTATTATTTTTATATCAAATAAAATAAAAAAAATTAGAGTATATATTATTGAGTTGATAACTAGTGTCATGATAGAAGTGTTATAATGGCACAAACCAGCAAGTATCCTTATAGATATGTCAGAAAAGACTATTTTTGTTATAGTGCAAGTTGAATTATTAGAAAATTAAAGTGCAAATAATAACAGGACACTTGGCACAATGCCATAAGTGGCATTGGATTGGCATCGAAAACATGTCATCGAAGATTCTAAGTGCTCCACTAGGTGTTATTCACCGCCCCAGCCAAAGGCCAGCTCCTACTGATTTCTTCCACCGCTTAAGTAGCTTCCATTTGCTTCCAATTTAGTCAAGTGTTATGCTTCTTTCAGTTTGATTTATGTAGTACTGTTAGTTGGTTTCTTGGTTGCATGAAAGATTAACCAAAGGTCTAAGGTTGGTTTGGTCTTTTTAATTTTAGTTCATTTGTTTGCCAAGATTCCGTAATTATATTGTCTCACACATTGATTCAAAATTTCGTTTGTTCTAATTTGCATTTACCTTAAAAATTTCTTACATTGATTTTGACACATTTAGCTTGAAGAAAAACTTATTAGACATGTACTTGTTAAACTTCTAGTGTATGTTATGTGTCTAGTAATATTTGCAATTTAACACAATTTACGATATGCACGTCATATATTTATTTAATTCGTAAAATTTTTCTACACTTCTAGACATGTACTTATTGAATTTATTTTCTAAATTCTCAATTTATAGGGATTCAATTAGGCATTTAAGGTAACTGTTTATTCGTTATATGTAATATTTCTAATATCAAGGTAAATAAAATAAAATAAAATAAATTCGTGGCATACGCACAATTTCTCGAGTTCTCACAAAAATAAACAACTAAGTTCCCAAATATTTCACTTTTATTGTTTAAAAAATCTCAACTTGTTGACTAAATTCAAAATAATTCTATTGTCAAAAATATTTTTTCTCAAATTAACTTTAATGATTAGATGTGAGATACAAATATGGTAAAATATCCCTCATTCGTATGTCATGGATATTTGAGACTTTGAGTGAAAAAATTTTTTTGTTGTTAAAATAACATTGTATCATAGTGTACTACTTTGATTTACTATGAATAAATGCTAGGGTGGCGTCGCTTCCCGTGGACGGCGTTAGCCAAAAAAAAAAGTATCATAGTGTACTAATTATTTTAGGACCATTTCATATGTGAACTAAATTTAATTTAAATTATACAATAGATTATATATGCATGTGATTTTCATTTATAATTATTGGATCCCATTCTTATGAACAATCTCCCACAGAAAAAAGTTCAGATCATACTAATTTTTTTATATTAATTGTTATACTAATTTTGTCATTTTTTATTATATTATTTCTCATTTTGTTTAGGCTTTAACTCTTATTATTTCTTGTGTCCCAGATGTAAATTTATTAAAATTTTATTATCTTATTATATGCATAGGTGTTAAATTATAAAAATTGTGATATATAAACAAGTAATATTCTATATATAACTAGGAAGATTTGTTATTATTGTTATCCAAAATTTTAAACTTTTCAAAAATTGACAATGATTAAAAACTTATAAAACAACAAAATTTTATTACATATTTTACGAGATTATGTGAAAAGTCAAACTTTTTTCATAGTATTTTAAAATCTATAAATAAAAAATTTTAATTATACCTATAATCATGTATTATACAGGTATATTACGAGTACTTACTAACTAAAGTACTAAAAATTAATCATTAATAAAATATCTTATCATTATTTCAAATAAATTTCCTAATACTAGTTTGAAATATGTTTTAAAGTAAAATAGTACATGTGTGCCATAAATCAGTAAGTTTTGATTATTAATCAAATTTACCATGTTATCAGTAAGAATTACTATTTATGTATAAAAACTTAATATTAGTTGAATTAAACTTACTCTCTAAAAAGTAAGTTTGGGATATAAATTAGTAATTTATTTATTTAAAAAGTAAGTTTAATATTTATTATAATTTATCTTTTGAAGTATAAAAGTTACTAATTTATTACTGTTAACTTACTTTTTTAGATGGGAAACTTACTTTCTTATTTTTAAGTGCTATCCTATTTAGATGGATAGACCTATCAAATAATCAAATAGTCGCTAAAAGTGCAATTACCTGTTATATCAGGTAAAAAACTGTTTCGTTACCATAACTGCCATTACTAAAGCATTGTCCTCACATTATATGTTGAGTTTCACTTAAGTGTGTTAACAAGTGACTATTCTCGTTAGGAAAATACTTTGTTAAATATCATCATTATTGTTTTTTGGGAGAACTGTACAAATAGTCCCTCACATATTGCAAATGTGAAAATTTCGTCCCTCAGATCGAAAATGATCAATTTTAGTCCTTATCAAATAAAAAAGGATCAATTTGAGTCCCTTTTCACTTTTTCGACTGATTTTTGCCCGGAATATCTCACGTGCACACCACGTGGCCAACTTTTCAAGGGTAAAAATGCCAAACCACTTATCTGTTGACCAAAACCAAAATGTAAAGGACGAATACTGCCCAAAATTCTTCTTCTTCTTCATTTCAACCAAACCCAAAAGCTGAGCCTCATCTCCATGGCAGAACCACCAACTTGTAATTGCGGTGTACCAGCTAGGGTGAAGACGTCGTGGACAGCTGAAAATCCAGGAAAGAGGTTCTACGGTTGCGCTTACTACGAAGTAAGTGTGCCTGATTTCTGTTTCTTTTTTCTTTTAGAAAATGTGAAATTTGAAGAGGTAATTTTGAACAGCATAATGGTGGTGGCGGCTGTGGCTATTTCAAGTGGTATGATACAAACAGTTGCGAGAGGTGCGATAAATTAGTGAGACACACAAGAAGATTGGCGAAGAGATTAAGAGAGTTGGAGGCAAAGGTGGAAGAGACAAGACGCAAGGAGAAAATGATGAAATTGTTCCTGTTTGCGGCCTTTGTTGTATTCATAGTGCAGAATTTATTGAGCAAAGATTGAGTTGTAACTGGCATTTGTTGGTGCAGGTGGTGAACTGGGAACTAGGTGGCTTTTATTTGTTGTACTTAGGTTGGGTTACGTTTAGTGGCCCTGTTGATTGTACAAATGGGAGTTGGAATGCAATTATGAAGCTTAAGTTCTTTCTGGTATATTGTGATTTTTTCTTGAATATGAGCTTACAGCATAAGATGGAATAAAAGTCTAACTTGAAAGATAATGCAGATGATAATGGCGATATTGCAGAGTTGGTAGGTAAAAAAATCTGTCAAAACTGCTGCTATACCGAAGCAGCAGCAGCAGGAGAGGGAAGAAAGCCGAAAGGGGAAGAAGGCATTAACACAAGATTTCATATTGCAGTCCACCATGTCTAGTCAGCCAAATATGAGACCAACAACATTAAAACCTGCCCTGCCAAAAACTTTTTAAGGATTAAGCCATATCAGAACTTGGCAAGGTTTCAACAACATTAACTAACTACTCAATATTTGTGTCAGTAAACAAAATTGGAGACAACATAATTGTATATTCATTCTTCAGTCCTGCCAATGTCATCTGCTGAGGGTTCAACTAACCAATAATCAGTCCCTTCAAAAATAAGAAGAGCATGCATTCCATTGCAATGAAAAAAAACAGTACATAACCGAGCCAAGTACATTCATTACAATACGCCTGTTATAAAAAAAATGCAATGAACTAAGAAGTCAATTCCATTGCTCCAAAAAAAGGTCTGCTGAAGTCAAATACAAGACAAAAAGGCGAAAAATAATCCATTTGCAGCACTCTTTTGTGGATTCTTTATTATATCCACCATTTGCAGCACTCTTTTGTAGATATCTTTGCAGTCATCCCTCTTTGCAATAACAGGCCAGTCATCTAGGCCTTTTTAGCCCTCTTTGCAGCACTTTTAGAAGTAGATATATTTGCAGTATTCTTGGGCCTCTGATACAAAAAAAAACAATGAAGAAGTCATTACTTACAGTCAATTACTTACAGTCAATAGCAATTTTTGCAGTCTTAAAAGTAGATATCTTTGCAGTCTCTTTAGACTATGCACGTAGTAGACAATACTTACAGCCAATCCAGGTGGTTCCCATGGGTGTCTCTTATAGAGAGAGGCCAATGTTGAATCACAACTACTTCGAGTGTGTCCAAATCTCCGACATACACCACATCTGTACTTGACTTTCTTACCCTGACAATTGGCAACCAGAAATTCAAGTAAATAAATAATAGTATAGAAAGAAGTCAACATGCTATTATTAGTATGAACAAATAGAGAAACATGAACTGGAGATGTTGCATTCTTTGTTGTCAATGTTGAAGTAGGTGGTTGGCTGGTTGTAGGTTGATCCGGGATTTGACTGATGAGATCAAACAAGACTTGGTCATTTGTATCAGTCTCCAAGCCACTTGCACCAAAAACTGCTTCAGGTGTGAAATTGGACTGCTGAGGTTGGGACTGCTTGTTTGCACCAGGATTCATAGTGTTGGGAGTCTGCTGTTGTGATTGAGAGCTACTTGTAATCGCAGTAGCTTGTTGCTGGACATTCTCTTGATCATGACTGCTTGGACACTTCCTACTATTGTGGCCCTTCTGTTTACACTTTCTGCACTTATAATCCATTAGACCAACTCTAGACAGTCTCTTTGTTTGTCCTTGAGAAGTTGTTGTAGCTGGTGGCTCATCTGGCTCTTTTCTTCTTACCTTCTTTGGCCGGCCAGGAAGCTTGATGGTTTCAGGTGGTAGGACAGGCCCCTGTTTCAAATCCTTCCACAAATGCTCACCATTGAGAGGATATATTATAGGCCCATATGCCTTCATATAGGCCTCTTTTGAGTAGCATTCATGAACAAAGTTCTCGGGAGACTCCTTTGTCAAAGCAATGGCACTTATTGCATGAGCACAAGGAATGCCATTTAGTTCCCACCTTCTACAACTACAAGTTCTGCTAGCCAAATTCACAGTGTACCTATCCCCATACATACATCTCACCTCATAATTCCAGTCCCCTGAAGGTGTAGCTATACATGCACTAGAAGCAGTTTTTACCTTTTCCAACTTTTTTAAAATTTTGGGACATACCTTTCCTGTATACTTCTGCATCCACTCCCTCTTATTCTCCATTCTAACCATTAAATAAAGTCGTATTGTTTCCAACATACCTAGTATAGGCCTCTCCCTTGCTTCTAAAATGCTGGAGTTGAAACTCTCACAAAGATTGTTCAATAAAATGTCACATTTAGGGGAGGTTCTGAAGTAAGCTCTGGACCATTGCTGTGGTGTTGTGTTGTCAACCAACCATTGAAATGCACCCTCATCAACTGCTTTCAAAGCTTCCATCAAAGCCTTGAACAGATTTTTGTAAGGAGCTCTTGCAAGTGCCCAAATTCTCTCCTTTAATGCCAAACCACCATGCAGCTTTTTAAAGTTATTGTACATGTGTCTCACACACATCCTATGCTCCACATCTGGAAGCAACTCTTGAATAGCTTGAATCAGTCCCTTCAACAAATAAAAAGGTGAAACCAGATCATCAAATTAAAACTAGCAAACTCAGTTTAAAAAAATCCCAGAAAAATACACTAACATACCTTTTGTTTATCAGTAATAATTGTCCAATGATTTTCATCTCTGATTTGGAGGTCATTCAGCAATTCACCTACGAACCATTTCCAAGTCAGCTTGTTTTCTATTTCCACCACAGCATAGGCAATGGGGTACAACTGATCATTGGGGTCAATTCCTACAGCTGTAAGCAACACACCCTTGTGGGGCCCTCTAAGATGGCAGCCATCTAACCCGACAACAGGCCTACAACCACTTAAAAAGCCTGTCTTGCATGCATTGAGACAAATATACAACCTCTCAAACCTATCTTCTCCCTCATCATCTTCAACAGTGGTCATGAAAACATTTGAGCCAGGATTAGCCCTCTTTACTTCCCTACAATAGTTTCTTAGTTTGTTGTATTGGGCTTCATGTTCACCATTAACTAAACTCTCTGCCTTTTTCTTAGTTCTATAAGCTTGCCACCTAGAGATGTTGACATTAACATCAGTCTTCACTTTATCTGTGAGCGTATTCACCTTCATGTCGGCCATGGCAGCCAACTCCTTTTTGTATCTATCAACCAAAAAAGTTGAATTTGCTAGTCCGTGGTCAAATGTCCTCCCACAACTGTGTTTACCTTGCATGCTCTTGATTTGAAAAGTCTTTTTGTCTAGCATAACAGCTGTAGAAACTTTCCAGCTACAGTCCTTGCAATAAGCTGTAGCTCTTCTGCCATCATTTTTACTGAATTTTATCTTCCTTCCGTGAACCACTCCATGGCTCTTGCATGCCTTCATGAACAACTGCTTACAAGTAAAAATCTGCCCAACCTCAAATTTGGGATCAATCATATCAGTTTCAGGGTTAAATTTTGGAAACTTAGCTCTTTTTCTTGGCTGATCTTCTTCTACTTCTGAGTCACACTAACTATCAAATTCATCTGAGTCAGTAGCATCTTCTTCCATCTCAGCATTCTCCACTTGACATGTTCTTTCCTTTGTACTCTTATTTGATTTGCAATTTTTGGCAATTTTCTCCCATTCATCTTTTCTGTCTTTAACAGATTTTACTATGTCTTCTTCATCACTGAACTCATAGTCACTATCAATGAACTTGTCACCATCAGCACATTCCTCATATTCCTCAGCATGTGTCTCCTTCTTACTCTTCTTCTTTTTCTCAACTTTTTCAGCCTGCTCTTTATTTGTTGAGGATTTTTTCTTTAATGATTTCTCTTTTGGTGATTTGTTAGTAGAAGGTGCATTTTTTCCTGTATTCTGTACTTCTGAGTTTGTCCAATCTTGTTCTTTTCTAAAATTCTGATCAGGCCCTCCTATATTTGCTGCACTATCCCCTTTATCAGCAACTCTAATGTCAACTTCTGAAAGCATTTCACCTAAGTTCTCTCCTATGACTGCTTCCTCTATGTGTTTATTAACTCCTGACTCACCAGCACCTATGCTATCCTTTTCACCCTCATTTTCTGATTGAGTTACAGGAATATTAGTCAACATTATTTCTTCTACATCAGAAGGTTCTTCATGCACCTTACTACCCTGTTGATTTTCCTTAGGATCAGTCCCCTCTTTTGGTTTACATGGTCCAGCTTCACATTCACTTATGGAGTAGGTTTTTAAGTGCACAAAGTATACATCAACCAAACCATATTTCACTCCGTCTCTAGCCAAATCCTAAGCAACATCTTCACATAACACATACACTAACCCATCCTCCATGTTCTTCCCAGGTATTAAGTAATAGTATATTACAGTAAACTCAGGATAACCCAGTTTTTCTGCAACCCTATCAAGTGTACATATAGACCATCTGTCAGGATTGCAACAATCAACAATTTTTACACTACCCCCGCGGTATTCTTTGTTCGGCAACTCAGTGAATTCACCTCCATAGTGGACCCCAATGAAAAATTGATTCATACCATCTGCCAACCATTTAGGAGACAGTTAACAACAAAAAAATTGTTTTGGGACCGACAGCCCATCTATGTAAAGCGACAACACAGCACAATACAAGGGACCACATGTACTTACAACAATTTAATACATAAAATTGACAACCAGCAACCCTAATCAATATAATAATGCTTCTTAACTGCACAAATCATGCTTATTTCAACTGTATTTAAACTATTCACATAGTATCTGACATTATTCCATAAATTTTACAGTTTAGGGTTTAGAAAAACATACCGTAATTTGGGATCCATTGAATGTCTTCTTCGTCCATCACTCTGGTATGCCTGTTTCTTCTTCGCTTTAGTCACTAACGCTCCTTTCCATCAACATCAGTCCACTGCTGGGTAGTGGGTAGTGATAATTAAGTTTTTTTGTTTGGGTTGAGAGGAATCGGAGATGGAACGGTGAGTTAGTACCAAAATGGAGATTTTTTTTGGGCAGTATTCGTTCTTTACATTTTGGTTTTGGTCAACAGATAAGTGGTTTGGCATTTTTACCCTTGAAAAGTTGGCCACGTGGTGTGCACGTGAGATATTCCGGGCAAAAATCAGTCGGAAAAGTGAAAAGGGACTCAAATTGATCCTTTTTTATTTGATAAGGACTAAAATTGATCATTTTCGATCTGAGGGACGGAATTTTCACATTTGCAATATGTGAGGGACTATTTGTGCAGTTCTCCCTTGTTTTTTTGGGAAAGGTGGTCTTCGTGGTGTTAAATTAGACCTAATTATTGGTTAAGCAAATTTTTCTTAGCAAAAGGCTAACTTTAAGTAGAACAGTAAGCTGTACAAAAGGCAAGAATACTTGCTTGCATTAGGTACCATGCATGGTGTCTATACTATTTACAAAAAGTTATTCATCTTCTATCAAACATCTTTGTGCTATACTCCATTCTACAACTAAGTACCAATTCGCTTTTACAAGTGGAAATTTCCTCCCTGAGACTCCAACGAGCCTTACAGTCAACGATACTTGCAAGGATTCTATCAATAGATAGCAACAGGAACATTCTTAAACAATGGCCTTGTTTTTGGCTTTCCAAACTTGATAGACTGTAATATCTAAGACCAACCTTTTGAACTTGCCAACAAACGGCTTTGGAATTCATATGCTAACATATTCGAGCTCAATAGACCTTGGGTTGGCACCCTTATCTCGACACAATGCTTGAACTTTCTGCCATGCGATAACAGTCACCAAACATTTGAAAAAAAAAAAATCATCTATAGTGCACGAAGCGGGGTTTATTCAGTGCACACTTTTAGGTAGCGGTTGCGAGTTTCCTTGTCAATTAAAAAAATGATCTATAGTTTTCTCAGTAGCATTGCACATACTACAATCAGTAGGGTTAAGCAGAAATTAATTTGCAAGAAGATGAGTTCATGTCTTTGCTCTCAATCTTAACAAGTGAATCTGTAATGAAGAATTAATTTGAGAGAGAAAATGAAGAAGTATCTGAGATGAGAAAGAGGGAAAAATTTTATTCATCAACTGCACAAGCCCTTTTCTTCTTCAGCAAGGCTTATTAATAGTCATTACAAGAATCTCTGCTTGTTATTTTGTTACTATAGTGGCCACGTCACCCTACTATCAAATCCCAAGTGAATTCACAATCAATACAATTGCCTCAATCCTTTTCACTTACTATTGGGCCCCTTTTATTTAATTTTCTGGTTCATTACATCATCTTGGGGAATAGGTGCATGTAAGGGTTTTCAACGGGGCATGATATTTGGTCAAATAACCAAAGTAACTAATTTGGTTCAAATAAATTGGTTAACCCTTTTAGCATTTTAATTTCAGTCTGTCTAATGGCACCCATTAAGATGTATTTGAGGTGTTAGATTTTAGAAATATAAGACTAATTAAGAAAAACTTATAAATGGAACGGGATTAATTAGGGAAAGTGTATAAATTCAAGAGAATAATAATTGTTAGTGTGTGTATATACATGATAAGTTGGATGGAATGTACCTGTGTTAATGAGTGCCTTATCGACATCGTAGAGTACCTGTTAGAAAAACCCTTTTAATTTTAGGCAATGGTTATAATTTTAAAATTTTAATGGTTTGGGTTAATCATAGGGAATTAATAAATCAAAAACTAAAATGTTAAGAATATTATATTAATCTTTAAGACACGTATAAACTACATTAAAGTAACATGAGTAATACATATTACTTACACATAATATTAACTGGCATTCAATAATATTACTTTAGAAGTTAACTTTAATTCCTAAATCAATAAGGATTTTCCCAGCGAGTGTTTGGCGTTCGGAAACTTATTGAAACATCTAAATTGCACATAACTTATCATGTGAGTATGTAAATTTATGTTTATTGTTCCTCTTATATTTAGATACTTTCTTATTAAATTTCACTTTTATTAGAAAATTAACACTTGAATCTGTCTTAACGATTCCCTGAGCCAAGTCCAATAAATAAAGCAACACTACAAATCTCTTTGCTAAAACTATGGACACAGTAGTTTTGTTTATTTGGCTTGGTTTAGTTAATAGAATTCGACCAAAATCGGGTAACCATGTAGTATTATACATCTGGTACAAGAGAAATTGAGGCGTATTAACTTTTTGATCCAACAGGTCAACCCAGCTCTTTTTTCATTTAAAACTCGAACCAAATGAAAAGAGTCCAGAGAGTCAAGCTCGATAATTTGACTCGTTATCAACTCCCAATATTTATTTCTCGAAATTAAAAAACCAGTAAAATATATTGGTGGTCATAATGCCAAAACCTAAAATAACAAAAATAAATCCCGTGCTTCAAAAAAAAAAAAAAACGAAGAAGAAAAAACAAATTTAATCCTCCCTTTGTCAAACTAATTTGGTACTTCAAGTCTTTACAAAAATTTAAATGTTGATTAGCAAATAAATATTTATTAACTAACAAAAACCCCTAAACAAATAGTATATCATACTATGTTTTTTGGATCATCTTTACGTTGCGAGTACAGAAATTTTATGATATTTGTTCAAAATTTAAAGCGAAATATTAATTATAGTCCATTCTTATTAATTGCACTTTCATTATCATTTTTATCAACTAATTTTCATTTTATTAGATTATATGATAAAATCAATGGTGAGAGTGTGATTAATAAAAAGTGAAGTACAATTAATATTTTTATTTTAAAAATTTACTTATTTTACATATTGTCATGTAACTGGACCTTTTTCTGAAGTTGTCATGTAACTAGACCTAGTCCTTTTAAAAAACATAAAACAGAGGAAACTAGACATAGATCTTATTTGATAATTCAATTCAATATTTAAAAATAGAATATTTAAATTAATTAACTGGTACTAAATTTTTTAGTCAAAAGTTGCTTTAAAAAAATTATAAATTATTCATTTATTATTTAACATAATATATAATAAAATGTATTAAATTTAATATTTAATAATTTAATGAATATAAATTTTAAATTTTAATTTTATCAAATGCATCGTAATCTATAAACCTTATACAAATTAATCATATGCTTTTCCATTTTATTTCATGAGGCCTTTTGGCAGCACAAAAGCCAAAACCCACAATGACCATTCTACCCCGATCCTTCGCCTGAAAGAAAACGAATTCAATCCTCCCGCCTTTTCAGGACACTTCGGTTGACCAATTCAAAACCAAATTCATGTCCCCTTCCCCATATATAAATCCTCTCTCACGACTCCCAACGCTCTCCTTCAACACCACCCCTAGATCTACCCTTATTTACAAACATTACCCTCCAACTGCCCCCTGTCCCCAGCAACACCTTGAAATTTCCTCGAAATTCCCTCCCGAACAAAGTTCCCCTTTCCCGAGGTCAATTTAGCAATTTAGACCAAATCCAACGCCTAATATAATTCTATT